TTTTACATGTACATTAAAAAAATATTTCTCCACCCTTTCTTCCCCCAAGTAGAATATAAGTTCTGTGGAGACTGGGGGTTGTTTGGTTTTAATCCTTGTATCCCCAGAACCTAGTGGAGTGCCTGACAAACAGTAGGAACCTGGTAGAGGCAGGTTGAATTGAATTTAATTGTTTGTGCTTGTGATTCTGTTAAGAGTCAAATATTAAAGAGATTTAGATGGATATTTTGACTGAGTGTAACTCCTTGAGGACAGGGACTTTTTCCTCTTTTTTTTTTTATCCCCAGCACTTAGCACAGTGTCTAACACATAGTAGGTGTTTAATAAATATTGATTGATTGATTGATTGGGTGTGATGCCAGGAGGAGTGTCATCTTCTGATGAGGAGGGTGAGGAGCTTCTGGGTTATGAAATAACACTGTAACACAAATGCCTGAGTTATCAAGGGTTACATCTGCTCCTGTTGCTTCAACAAATTTGCTGCAAATGAGATAAAAAAAAACCAAACAGTTAAAGCTAAGAAAGTTAACATGGGATATTGTGTTAGTGATGCAGAAATAATGGAGAACAGGTAGTGATCTGACAGCAGCAAATAAATAAGAGGCACAGAGAGAAATATTCAAGCAAGATTTTATCTTGGAGCAGAAAAGAAGTTGATAGAAGGCTGCCTCTGTCCTCATCTGAGTAATTCACTTTGCAGAAAGATAGCAATGGCAGACCATGTCAGAGACAGTGCAGCTTGACCAGGCTTTACTCTACACTTCTAAGTGAGGCAAATGAAGAATTTTTTTTTTAAGGCAATTGGGGTTAAGTGACTTGCCCAGGGTCACACAGCTAATGTCAAATGTTTGGTCTGAGGCCGAATTTGAACTCAGGTCCTCCTGACTTCAGGGCTAGTGCTCTATCCACTGCACCACCTAGCTGCCCCTAAATGAATAATTTTTAAGAAGAAGCCAGGTGGCAGCAAGGATTTATTCCAAAAATCAAATTCCCAGTTGTCTTTAGAAGTCAGACTCGTGCTCATCTCTCGTATCATCCTCTCAAAGTTCTAGAGTTCAGAGGGACATCTGGTCTGACTCCCTCATCTTATACATGAGAAAACTGAGGCCTAGAGAGGTTCAATAATCTATCCTTGGTTCTACATGTAGTGAGTATCAGAACCAAGATTTGAACTCGGGTCCTGTGATTTCAAGTCCAGTGCCCTTCTCACTTGACCACACTGCCTTCTGGTTTTAATAGCACAGCACAACGATAACCTTGAGTTATCAAGATTAAATTTTGTTCTATATATGTTGTTTATATTGGATTTAGAACTGATGAGATTTGTCCCAAACCTTTCTCAATCTGAGTGAGGTTAGGAGGCTTCTCCAACCTATCCAGGAAATAAGCAGGAGACTGATGTTTGTACCTGGGCCCTCTCCATCCAAATCCAGTGCATTTCCCACCATACCATGATACTTTTAAGGATGGAAAATGTGCAGTGTGAAATGGATCGTTTCCACCCAAAAAAGCTGAGTGTTTTTCAAGGCACTTAAAGGACTCACTTCAGGTATTCAGAAACTCCTAACCAGACTCTTTCAGATAGCTGAAGTCATAAGGGTGTTACTGTATATCTAACTATCTTATCTACACCAATCTGAAAGCTGCTTTTTGCTTTCTTGGGGAATGCTTATTTTAAGCTTTTCTGAAAATGAAAAGGAAGGCTCTCGGAGTAAACATGGTCCATGAAAAAATGTTTGGCGTAATTACCAGGCATGGAGGACAACAGCCCCAAGGACTGCCTCAGCCCATTGTTAGTTTTAGAGGTAGGCGTCAGGGTGGCCCACTGCCAAGGACAAATGATGAGCCATTCTCGAAGCCTTGCTTGCTTCTCTGCAATATGATATTCCAGCAGCAGGAGCTGAGAGAGGAGGTCAGGACTCAAATCTACATTCCAATTTCTTGCAAAAATAAACACATGACAACATATGGAGTTATAACTACAGGAGGAGACTGAAATCGGGTGATGTGGGGGTTGGGAAGCTGTATGGAATAGGCCTGACAGAGGAAAGGGAAAGAAAAGGAGAATGAGAGAGCAGGGGGAAAACAGAATTTGTAAGAATAAAGTGAAGATTGGATGGGAGAGAATAGGTCATAGAATTTGAAGCTCAAAGAGATTTAGGAGCTGATCTAGTCCAACTGTCTCATTTTTCATAGAGTTCCCCTGAGCTACTCTGAGATTTAGCATGGCTGTTGTGAAGTAATAACTAACTCATTCATGGCTTGAGCCCCCATCTGTTGTATCCTTCTGTTGCTAGATCACACTAGAGACACGTTAAGTCCAATAGCAAAAGTATTTAATGAAGACGTAAAATAATGTGAATAAATAGATAGTAAAACATTCTCATCATTTCTACTCAGCCTCCTATACCACCAGAGGAGTTATATCATAATTTCCCTTCAATACGTATGACTGTTTAGCACAGGGAAGATGTCGTTGCTCCAGAACTCAGTAGATGCTCATAATATAGTACTTCTGCACATTGTTTCTCCACTCAGTCTACAACTCCACATCTTGACTCCCTATGTCTAATTGTGCTATTTATTCTCTTGTATGCACTCGTGGCTGGCATCCTGTTTTTTAAACCTCTTCATTTATGAAGTACTCGCTGCCATTTAGAGTCCTTGACTCATGAGGTCACCAATTCTGTGGGCTCTCAGGTAGGCCAATCCTTGTGGGAGACGTAGTCCAGGGGATCTCATATAATGAGTGTTGCTCTCTTGACCCCAACTATTATAGGAAATAACATCCTACATACATGCCATTTATATACTCAGGAGGAAGCAGAGACTCAGGGTTAAGTGACTGGCCCAAGATCTGGAAGGAGTAATTGGAAGTAGGGCTGAGTGGGTGCAGGGGGCAGGGTAGAGCCTCAGAGGGATAAACCAGGGATTAAAGAGACTAAGATTTAGCCATAAATAGCAACAGGCCCTGAATATAGATGTGACTTATGGAGGCAATTACACAGTCGTGTCTGAACTGTTCTGATGGGATCACAGCATCGAAGAACTGTAGAGTTGAACGGAACCATAGAGAAGTTCTAGTCCAATCTGGATCTAAGGAAGAAGGCTACTACAGTGTCACCAACATATGGGCATAGGATGTCTGCTTGAAGTGCTCCGGTGAGAAGAGATCCACTATCTCCAGATGCAGCTCAGGCCAATTTTGGGCAGCCCTAAGTGTTTATAAGGTTTTTTTTTCTTATATCAAGTGGAAATCGTCTTCATAACAACTTGTCCCTGTTGCTTCTAATTCTGTCCTCTGGAGCTATACAGAGCAAATCTAGTCTCACTTTCATATCACACACCCTTCAAATAGGTGATAGGATGGAAGGGGCCTCAGAAGTGTATTCCCCCAATTTGGTAGATAAAGAATCTGAGTCCAGGAGATGCTAAGTGATTCGTCCAAGGTCCAAAGGTAGAAAGCATCAGAGCTGGGATACCTAAAGAGAACTGTCACTCCCCGTTGCACCCCCTCTCCCCAAGTTATCTGTCCTTCAGGCTAAATATCTTTGGTTAGTTCAAGTGACCTCACATGTCATAATGTGAGGCCTTTCATCACCCAAGCCAACACCCTTCTGGCTGTGCTCCAGTTTATCAGGATCCTTCTTAAAATGTGCTGACAGGATAGAATTTACATCTGGGAGGGACCTCAGAGATCACCAGGTCTAACTCCCTTAAGATAATAGCTCTGTGATAAATATCTAATTATATAAGATTGATTAGTCTAAACAGTTTCTTTTTCAGAAGAGTCGTTTAAGAAAGAACACATATCTAGGGGTGGGGGTAGGGTGAGAATTGTATCTTATAGCCAGGAAGGTTAAAAAAAGGGAACATCCGTGGGACTTCTGTTTTCAATGGGAAAACCAGCAATTGAGTATAGATCAAGAGTCATATATGGTGGCCATTCAAGATTTGGATTGGAAATAGGTGAAGATAGATTTTTTTTCAAGTGCTGCCAATGAGACCCTTGGGTCATGTGGCTCAGGTGCCCTGTGGATTCCAGGAACAGTTGCTTCTGAGTCCCTGTTACTCATTTAAACTAAATAGCATTAAATGTCGAAGCTGCCAAGTACTTATTCAAACGAGAGGTATTCTGTGAAAAAGAGAAGAGGAAAAGAAGGTTGCTGGTGAAATAGCCAAAAGATAAATTAAGTTCTGAGTATATGGGAGCTTCATAGTAAATGTAGTTCTTGATGGGGTAGGCACTCTTTGGAAAGTATAGGCATCCCTTATCTGATTCCTCTTATATTAATAATATTCTGTTTTTCAAAAGACTTAAAGTGTTATCACAACATTGAGACACTTGGAGGAACTCTATTGAACCAATAAAGGATAAAAACACGTTTATAGCATCAATATAAAGTAATATGGCACTTTTGGGGTAGCTAGGTGGTGCAGTGGATAGAGCACCGGCCCTGAAGTCAGGAGGACCTGAGTTCAAATCCTGCCTCAGACCAAACACTTGACACTTACTAGCTGTGTGACTCTGGGCAAGTCACTTAACCCCAATTGCCTAAAAAAAAAAAAATACAATGATCCAAGTAATATGGCACTTTGGTGATTGTAATAAATTCTGAATCCTACCCTTGCTCTGATTGACCACTCCTGGTCTCCTGGAATTGGTTACAAAAGCAGGTAAAGGAATGAATGGAAAATTTTCCTCCTTCTTACCCTCCTTGGTTGATCCCTGGTACAGTGATTATGCAGGAAAAAAGTAATTCATGCTTTCCCCTTTTTCCCCAGGAAGCCCAGATTTCTGTGCAACACAAACATATTGAAAATATTGCTATTGTACTGTGAAGCTGAATGCTTTTAACTAACAATTAATGGTGTTTATGTAGGTCCTCTTTCCCCACAAATAGTCCTGCTTTTTCTGTACCAGATGTGAAGTGGTGAACATGATTCATTTACACATCACTAATCTTTTGATTCTTGATTGTTCTTCTTTTGTGTTCTAGAGCAAGGAAATTGGCCTACAGATGCATGAAGAGCTGTTGAAGGTGACCAATGAGTTATACACAGTAAGTTCTGCAAATATTGGGTTGGGATAGTCTTCTTCTCTTTGAGACCAGAGTTGGGAAATAGTCCAGAAAACCTTGACCAAAAATGTCTCGAAGAGTTATTCTGTCATTGTTTCTTGGTTCCTGCCAGTTTTCAGAAGTTAAGAGCTTAAAGTTGAGTCTGATGTGACCTTTGGGTTGTAATCCGCTTGAGGGCAGGAAGTTTGGGTTGCTTGTTTGCAATGTCATAACTCAATGGACTATTTATGGCTTTAGGGCTATGTGGAAAGTGTGACCTATATCCATTTATGTTCCAGTGGAGATGAAAGAATCTTTCTAGTAGGGTTTGTTTTTTTTTAGATTTCTGGAGATTTTGTATCATTACTTTGTTTTTGTTACACATAGTAATTCATGTTCCAGCCACTGTTCTATGCACTGAGGATGCAAAGAATGGCAAAATATGGTCCCTACCTTTAAAGAACCCACATTTTAATGAGAGAGACACAATAAATGAATGAATGAGTAAATAGGTGGATAAATATACATGCCCCCCAGCCCCCATCCACATGTGTGTGAGTGTGTGTGTGTTATAAATGAAATTAGATGTCTTTCAGAAGAAAGGCATTTGTAGTATGGGAGACAGGAAAAGGCCTCCTGAAGGAAATGAGATTTAAGTTGAGTCTTGAAGGAGGTGGAGGTGAGGAAAGAGAAGCATTGTTGGCAGGAAGTCCACCAAGTGCAAGGCACAGAGTCGAGAGTCAGAGTGTTGTGTCTGAGGATCAACAAGGAGGCCAATGTCACCAGACTGTAGAGTATATGGAGGGAAAATTGCACGTTTGATCATGGAGGTAACATGGAGTTGCTAAAGTTTATTAGGTAGGGGGTTACGTGTTCAGACTTGGGCTTTGGGAAGATCGGTTTGGTCACCTAGTGGAGAATGGATTGGAGAGGGGAAAGACATGAGACAGGGAAACCAACCAAAAGTCTGTTGTAATAGTTCAGACATGAGGTGATGGAGGCAGGACCAGGGTGGCAGATGTGTGAATAAAGTCCTGTCCTGTTATTGTTTGGCCGCGTATGACTCTTCATGACCCCATTTGGGGTTTTCTTGGCAAGGAAACTGGAGCAATTTGCCATTTCCTTCTCCAACTCATTTTATAGATGAGGAAACTGAGGCAAACAGGGTTAAGTGACTTGCCCAGGGTCACAGAAGGGGATGAAAATGAGAGAGAGTACACAGGAAGAAACTACAAGATTTGATAGCAGATTGGATACGTGTGATGAACCTGAGTGAGGAGCCAACATGATTCTGTGCTTGTAAATCACCCTGGGAGATTGGGAGAATAATGTCTTCTATATATATTTTGTAAGAGAGAAAGATTTTGGGGAAAAGATAACAAATTCTGTTTTGGACCCATTGAATTTGAGGTGCTTACAGGACATTCAGGACAAGATGTCCGAAATGCAATTGATGATATTAAGAACTGTAGCTCAGGAGAGAGGTTGGAGTTGGATATATAGGATCTGAGAATCATTTGTGGAGAGTTGGTTAATTGAATCCATGGGAGTTGATGAGATGACCAAAAGAGATAAAATAGAAGAAGAAGTAAAGAAGAGAGCCCAGAATAGAGCCTTAAGGGACACCCATGGTTAGTGGCCATGATCTGGATAAAGGGCCAGCAAAGGAAGCATTAGATAGATAGGAGGAGGACCCAGAGAGAACAGTGTCATAAAAACCTAGAGAGAAGACAATATCCTGGAGAAGTATATGATTGACTGTAGTAGGAACTTAATATTTATTGAATTGAAGTTTTGTTGTTTTAAGTTCCCATGAATTTCCTTGGTAGTAGCCACTTTAGGGCTGTGTATATAATGTGGGCTGTAGAGTCAGGAGGAGCTAGGTTGAAATCCTGCCTCTGACAGTTACTCCCTATGTAACGCTGGGTAAGTTGTGTAAACTCTAGGTGCCTCTAGGACCTACCTATTAAATCAGAGTCTGGTTGTCCAGCTTTCTACGAGCATTGGTGGAGAAAGTTCCCACGCTGTAATTTCCCCAAATGACAAAATCACAGATCCTTTGAGTAGTCTATATTTGTGCACTTACTTGTTAACTATTATTGGTGTGTGAGAGGCAACATGGCTCATGAGCAGGGTGCTGGGCTTGGGTTGAAGTCCAGCGTCTGACATTTACTAGCTCTGAGACCAGCTAGCCGTAGAAAGGTCACTGAAGCTCTCTGAGCTCAGGCAACTCTTGAAAACTCTTAAGTTATAGACAGGTGGGTGAATATTGACTAGCAGTAAAACCTTATGGAAAAATCAAAAGATGAGTTGTGTGCTTGTTTCAGCAACAGCAGGGGAAGGGAGAAGTTGTGAACCTGGCTTCTGGGTGAGTGGGAGCCCTAGTAGATAAATGCATAAAGGTAATGAATCAAGGAAACAGGGTGGGTGATTCCCTGGGGCTTGTGGGAGAGGAGGAAGGAACAGAGCTATGTCCCCTGGGTGTTTAAACTGATGGGAGCCCTGTTCCCCTGCCTCACCTGTAAATGTAGATGAGTATCTCCACTTGGAGGAGATAGTAGAACAAAGCAGAATCCCAGAATTTGAGAATTGGAGGGGGCCTCAGCAACCTTCCAGTCAAACCTGTACACAGACAGAACCCCTCCTAGAACAAGTGGTTGTCCAGCCTCTACTGAAGATCTCCATGGGGACCCTTGTACTTCTCCAGCCAGTCTTTTCTACTTTTGGAGAGCTCTAATTATTAGGAAATTTTTCCAGATGTCAAACCTAAATTGGTCTTTCTGCAACTTCTCCCCATTGTTTCTGGTTCTGTACTTGCTATACGAGGGGACTGGCCCAGGACGGCCCATGACAGCCATGAGGATCACGGACAGCCTACTCTACCTGATTCAGTATTCCCTCATGGATGTTTGGTGAGCCTGCTTCTAGGCATGTGTAATGGAGGGCCCTGCTTTCTACTTTAGAGCAGGTGCAGGTATTCTGTGAGGGTGACCATTGCACTTACTGTGTGGGAAAGAGGGGCCTGTTGACTGACTTCAGAGCTAAGTATGCAGCCAAAAAGCCTAACAACTCAATACCACTCTCTTTTCTTTCCTGGTTGCGTTCATGAACTTCCACTGGCCTCCAGGTGGGAAAGAGCTTTGGGTCCTCTCTTATCTGAAGCCTTTATGAAACCAGGGAGCACATGGCCTCCTAGGCAGGCCTGTGACAGGAATGGGGCTGCCTCTAGTGTGTGTCTTCTCTCCTTTCGATTCTTCAGGCCTTGTGACATCTTGAAAGATCGGAAATTGCTATTAGCTGAACTTGGGGGACCCAACTTGCAAGTGTATGTATGGTTTGGGAAAGTAAGTTCAGTTTCACTATATCTCCTCCGTATGACTGCCCTTTAGATACGTGAAGACAGCAATCTTGTCTGCCCTGAGTCTTCTCTTCTCTGGGATAAACACCCCTAGTTGTTGATGCTAACCTGACCTGGACTCAGAGCCTTGGGCAGGCCTGCTTACCCTCCTCTGGACACTCTCCTTTCCTTTCAAAGCTTTAGTGATCGGAACTGAACACGATACTCCAGATATATTCTGATGAAAGCCGAGTACAGGGGGACTAGGAACTCTCCCCCTATTCCTGGAAGCTGGGTTTCTCTTATTGCAGCCAGTGGCATTTGATTTTTTTGGCCATCGCATCTCTGTTATTGAACTCATGGTCTTCTACAACTCCCAGATCTGTTCCAGAATAAAGACCTTCTTCCTCTCTGGCAAGAGAATTGGCCCAAGGATTAGCCTAGTACTACAAAGTAGAGTATGGAGGTTGGTTGGGTAGCCTTGAAAAGTAAAGGACTGATTCTGTGATTATAGATCTGGAATTTGTCATAATTATAGCAAGCACCTGTCACCTCTCCATTGACTGAGGTTCTTCTATGCTTGATCTGAGGCAGGAGTTCTTGACCTGGGGTCTATGAACATTTTAAAAAAATTGATAATTATATTTCAATATAATAGGTTTTGTTTGTAATCCCTTGTATTTTATTTTAGGCATTTAAGGACATTATCCTTTCCTGATTTTATATGTATAATTGATATCATATTGCTTGCTTACTCAATGGGTAGGGTAGAGAGGGAGAAATTTTGGAACTCAAAATTTTAAAAAAAGAATTAAAAATAATAATAAAAATTTTAAAAAAATCTATTATTCTGAGACAGTAGCCTTCACTGGACTGCCAAGGGGGTCCATCACACACAAAAATGGTTAAGAACCCCTGGTCTAGGGTTTAAAATATATAATGTCATCTTGTTACTTTGATCCCACTCAGAACTCCAGGCAAATCTCTAAAAACTTAGCTTGTGCCTCATTTCCCATTAAGACTCTTTTCCTCTACTTGTGCATGACCTCAAAGGAAACACATTCTCATTATGGTCTAGAATACCTTTTACTGCAAGAAATTGCAATTACAAAGGCACAGTAATAAACCAAAAGCAACGCCCTGATGCACAGGGAAAGGGTCAGCCATTTCCATACTCAGCAGTTGCTAATGGCTGAGTTCACAGCTTTGCTTTTCCCAGGGGACCAGATGTTCCCAGAAGTCTAGTAGAGGGGAATTATCACAGTCTTAGAGCAGGGAAATATATTATCTCACTATACCTCGCATGGTTCGCTAAGTGCTTTATCAGAGGACTCAGAATCGGGAGCCATCTTTTTTTTTTTTTACTTCCTGAAAGAGCCTTTATTAAGCACCTGCTGTGTACCATATCTTATGCTAAGCTCTAGGGACACACATAGAAAATGGCACAGCCCCTGCTCTTAATGAACTTACATTCTAAATAGAGGAGACAGCCCAGTTACAGATGGAGGGTAGATGGAAGGGCCTGGGGTAGCTAAAAGGCAAATCGTAAGGACCAGCAGTCTTTGGGGTACATTGACTGGTCAAGTGGAAATGCTTAAGAGTCTGGAGAGTGTAGTTGTTGCAGGGCAGATAATATCCCCCTCCTAGCTGGATGCAGACCCCCTAT